CCTACTATTTTCATAGAGAGACTTAAAGAGACAATACAGCACCTAAACTTATAGGGGGCCACCCATTTTCAAAAGATGAGTGTATCATCCAGTTAGCCCTAGATATTCCAAGGTATTTGCAAAGATTAACATACTCTTAGCCAAGTTTAGATGTTACATCACAGTTCAATGGAGCCCAAATGAAGATATAAAAAAAGACAAACATACAGACAGAAGAAATTAAAATGCTAATCTTACTCCAAGAAAAATAAGCTTCCTAGTTAAAAATTTTACTCTTCTTTCAAAAACAGATTTTGGAAGCCTCTAAACATTTGAAACAGGGCCTTATTCAAGTCCCTGTCAACAATTTGTCATTGAGGAAAATAACCCTAACAATAGTTACCCCTAAAATATTAGACAGTGATAAATAAATTAGCTCAATAAACCAATAGCTAATTTCAATAAGAGATTTAACATGATAGACCTTTTCTCAACTTCAATAATATAAGGTAATGCCCTCCATACATTGATATTTTTTAAATTGGTAAAGCCATAAATTATACATAATTATTAGAACTAATTTTACTACATTAAATAAAGTTATTAAGGATGCTCATACAACTGTTTCTTTATCCAAAGATTGTTTTGACATAAGATCCCTAAAAATGTTATTGCTAGCTCAATGTCATATAAATTCTAAATTAGATCACTGTCTTAAACAATACTGTTAAACTTGTTTTTACCCATTAATGTTTGAGATACTAACTCTTCCTACTTAGGTCAATACTAAGTTTAATAACAATAATGACAGTTTTTCATGGATTCATAGAGAAAAGACTATTCATTTCTCTATTTCATTTTTTATTAATGGTAAAAAACAAAATATCTTCTCTAGGCTCACTTAGCATATGTACTTCCTATTTTGGATAGATGTCTATATAATTTCTCATGCCCCTAATAAAGGCCACAGATTCTAAGTTAAAAACTCTTGTCACTAGCCTCATCCCAAATTAAGACAATTATGTAAGTTAATCTAGAGTTAATTTCAAAATACAATTTTTTATACAGCTTATTGTATTCTTCATTTTTCGTAATTCTGTTAAAATAAAAATCAAGTCATACATTTAGTAAAGGCTAAGTTTCTATTTACCATAGTACCTTTAAAAGACTTTTGTCAAGTCTCATGACCAGCTAGAGCTAATAAATCTTTTATTATTTATAATGCTTGTACTATTGTCTATAATTTAAACTAATGATATTATGACTTATGTCAGCCTTTCATTCAATATTAATATATTTTAAAAGGGGGAAACAGGACCCCCCAGGCACATAATAGGTCTTACAAAATATTTTAAAAATTTTTGTCTTAATTTTAATATTGAGAGTCTAATTGCTACTGAATGTGATTTAGTAAATTAAATCAAATTTCAAAAGATAGAGTTTAAACCGTTCCTCATGAAAATGACTGAAAAACCTGGCACAGAAAGGTAAACTTCCAGCTGCAGAGTTTATAGCCATGCAGCTTCATGAGCTTGTCAAGTAAGTAAAAATTACAAACTTCTATGGACCCATTTCTCAGGTCCACCTTTAATGTGCCTTGCAGTGTGGACTGGAAAGTCCACCTATGTAACTAGATTAATTGTACTGACTATAATGGTCAGTTATACCTATATGTTGATCTTATGGTAAACAGACTGGGAATATGTTTTGAGAAAAAGACAGCATATGAGAAATCTAAGCCAGCCAATCACGCTAGTCCTTAGAAATTAAGATTATATATCTGAAAAATTGTCATACTAGATTGTTGAAACAGAACCTTCTTATACAGGCCAATTATTTACATAAAATATCCACCAATGTATTATTGCCCTAATTATTCTACAATAGAAACTGGCACCTTTCCTAAGTGGATAGATTGTGCAAATGTCTTGTCAGTATAACATAAAGTGTCTAGAAATGGTGGATATTTTTTAGGCTGGTCTCCTAGAATTACATGCGCATGCCATAAATCCTAGAAACCTTAATCCTCAGTGAGATGGCACCCAAAAGGATGTTTTGATGTTTGACTTCTGCCTTCAGAATATTTACATTGCCGACAGACCTAAAAGACTCCTTAAATGTGAAAATTGAGAGAAAGGATGGTTAAATATCCTGTGACCTATAAAAGGTAAAACTTGCCTAATTTTATCACTAGTTATAGTAGAGAAAAATGGCATTGATCCTTCATTAACATTTCTTTGTCCTATTGCCAGCTAGCATGCTGAAGTTAACATTCAGGCCTTGAAACATGCCAATTAACCAGATCTAGGCAAATTTTTGATGTCATGATCCTTTAAGTGACTACTTAACATATTATTCATTGTTCCTACAATACAGCCTTTGTGGCTATGTTTTAAAACTTACAACATATGAATTTTCCTAATAATTTGACTTAAATGACTTCCAAGATTCTCTGTAGTCAGATAGGTGCTGATGGAAGGATTGAAATTAAGTTAAAATGCTCTAGAAGCCACTGTAATGAATAATGCGAATGAGCCCTCTGATCTATGATTTGTGGAAAGGCTTAAATGCCATGCCAAATAAAAATGTCTGTGTTACTATGGCCACGCACAATGCTTCCCAATAAAATTGGGAGAAGATTACGAATCTTCTGATGAGTGTTTGGCAGAGTAATAATAATAACCTAGATCTCCCAAAGTTAATTATGTTATTGAAATGATATGTTTTCTACTAATTCCTTTTGTATCTCAATTGTAGGTCATAATGACCTCGGACCAAGAATCCAGTGACTGAAAGATATTATTCCCCAGTTTCCTTTTTTTTTTTTTTTTTTATTAAGAAAGGGAATATGTTGGGAGCTGCTCTGGATGCAGATGCCTTGAAGTCCTGGTGCCATGGGGCACTGAGCAATTATTGCTTTCCACAGTAACCTAGGTGTTACCCCAGCTCGGATGACAAGGTGAGGCTTCAGATGTAAGTGTCACCCTCTGGGGTTGAGTTACACTCACCTGTTCCTTTGTAATCCCACCCGTTTGCCCTTTGGGGGATATAATTTCAATGGAACCTCCTCTTATGTGTCTCCTATATAAGAATAAAAAATTCTGGTGGTGTTCTCTCTTTCCACTGACCCTTAAGGTCGGAGAGCTGTCACGGATTTTTAAAACGTATTTCTGTGTGTTTGTGTGCTTTCTTTGTTGTTTTCTTAAGTTATTGGAATAGTTTGATTTTGTGAAGCCAGCTTTAGGTCTCCAGCTAGAATAGATGGTGATACTCAGACTTAAGTACTATCCTTATAATATAAATTAATCCTACCAGTACCCTGATAGCTACAGTTCATTTGTCTGCTCCCCTTGCATCAAGTTATATAAAGAAGCCTGTGCAGAGGAAGAGTGGCAGAATCTGTCAGTTCAGACATTGAAACTGCCACTGAGATGAACTTCTTGAGCAAATGTTTAGAATCATTAAAGGAGTTTATTGCCATAAATGTCAAGCTAATGATGAATTACAAATATTTAGAGAGCACTTTGTGTTATGTTAGTCAACTTCTCATTGCTGTGAACAAAGTACCTGATCAGAACAACTTAGAGAAGGAAAAGTTTATTTTGGGTTCAGATTTTCAGATATTCAGTCCATAGCCAGCTGGCTCCATTTCCCTGGGCCTGAGGTGTGCTAGGAAATGAATCCATTAATGAATTTACCACTGTCACAACCTAGTCATTACACCTTTGAACATTCCTGCATTTCCTAACACATAAGATTTTCAGGGGACATTAGAAATCCAAATTATAACACACCTTGATAGAGAATATAATGTAGTGAAAGGTTATAGATTGCTTTTTATGCAGAGGAAAAGTCATATACTGGGTAACTACCACTTAATAGAACTTATGTTTTTCTTTGTTTTCTTCAATATTGAATTAATTTTGGAGGCATATTTTTACATCACAAGTTGTCTTTTGTAAATAAATTCATGGATTAGCATTCAGGCACAAATTACTACCATTTTTTTCTATACACATTGCTCATGTCAACACTAATCTAAACACAATTTTTGTTCCAGTTCAACAACTAGTCTTTGATTAACTATCTCTTTTTTCCACACAGTTAGCTCTTTTCCCAACCATATGTGTCAAGAACTACATATCAGTGTGTTATTTAATTGTAAAGTATTATATAAAGATATGCACAGTAGTTTCTATCATTGTAAAACCTATTGATGAAAATGTTTTGTACTCTTGCTCCCTGAAGTTAGGTTCATGGAACCCTATGGAGGGAGAGAAAGAGAGAGATTGAAAGAGAGAATTCAAATAGTACAATTTATACACATACCCACTCTGTTACTCAGTGTATTTATCGCTCATATTTAGCATAATATAAGATAATTCTGCCCCTCACTCTTTAGCTGGTCTTAGAATCCTCTATGTATCCCATTTTATGGCACCAAGTATGATTCTGTTGTATTTGATACAACATGGTGCCTAATGAAATCCAACTAACTCATCAGTGTCAACTAAACAGTGATATATTCCAATGTTAGAAAAAATTTATTTTGTTATATTAAATAAGAGTTTGTTTCCAATGATGAGAGCATAGGTATCCTAACAGCACCATCCTAAACAATTTTCATTCTTGTGAGAAATGCTTTTCCTTTGCCTTCCACACTATCTACTTAACCTACAATCTAGAAAAGAGACAATGTCTTTGTAATATATGCCATTCACAAGTGACAGTAGTAAAGGAATTTGAGGAGTTAGTTTTCCCTTTGAGCATTTTTCTTAAACTTTATAACTGAATTGTCTTGCTGGTTGGTTAACGTATGTGTAAGTTTATTTATTTATTTTTCTTTAAACGGTGCAATTTCTTTTTTCTTTTTGGTACAGGGAATTAAACTCAGGGACACATTACCACTGAGATGTCTGCAGCTTTTGTTTATTTATTTATTTTTTAATTTTAGGTAGGAAACAAAATAAATCATTGTTATTTTTACCTCAAAGAGTTCTTTTTTTTTTTTTTTTTTTTGGTCAATGTGGTATGTTTTGTGTGAGAGCCAAGGCACACCTCAGTTTAATTTCCATAGACTTATATGGTACTTTAAAACACAGAACAAAAAAGCAGAAGAACATTTTGTATTTCCCTCCTGATTAGTTTTATTATGATGTAGTATATTAATTTTTTTGTTAATTTGTTGCACAGAAAATAATTATTTGATTCAATGTACATACTTTTGCTGAAGCCAAAAGGAACCACTGTGTAGATTAACTCATTCATTAACATCAAAATCGTTTTTTATCTCTGAAAAAAATTGAGTCAGACTGGCCTTGAAATTGCGATTCCCCTGCCTCAGCCTCCTGAATTGCTATGATTATAGGCATGTGCCTGTGTGCCCAGTTTAAGCCGTACAATTTTAAATACGTATTTTGTTTGCTTCTCAATCTTTCCCAACACAATTAATTTTATACTGAGTTATTTCATGGTTGTTCCTTAAATAGGTTCATCAGAGGGATTCTGGTACTTTTTCTTTTGTTGGTGTGAGAGTTTTAATGGCTTTCTGCCACTCTTTGATGATTTTGTGATAAACACTGCCCCAGGGATTGTGGGTGATAGGATTGCTAATCTAATAAAAAAGTTGTTCAAATATTCATTATCCTTCCTATTTACTTTCCTCTTTAGGCTGATTATGCAAACTAATTTCACACTTATGTGCCAGCACAATTATTTGTTGATGTTTTGTTTATGCTGTGTGTTGGTTTGTTAATTTACATTTAAAACTATACAAGAATTATAGTGTTTAAAAATATTACATAATTATTTAATATATCATTCTTGGTTTATTATTTTAAAATAATAAATCATTTGTGATTGATTACACAAAGAATTGCAGTCCACAAAATGTGATCAAAATTGAAAAAAGCTCCACACACAATTTTCTCTGGTCCATTTATGACAAAGCAAATAAAAATCTACAACATTTGAACACTCCTGTAAGTATATACCTACATAAACAGAGTAAGAGGCTATTTCTGAGCTTTTCTTAAGTAACCCTGGGTTATTTTTATTATTTTTATTTTGTTTATTTATGATTTTTTAAGATGGAATGTAGCTATGCTACCTAGGTTGTTCTCAAACTCTTGGGCTCAAGTGATCCTCCTACCTCAGCCTCCTGTGTAGCTGTACCACAGGCATATGCTACCTTCCCCAGTTTAAGACTATTTTAATGTGATGCTTTTATTATTACTCCCAAGAAGAAAGGGGGCAGGTGACAACCCAAGATGTGTAGTATAGGGGAAATCTGAGATTTGTATTGTTGAAGCTCAGTGTTATTCCTGTGCATTGGTAAACCACACTATGCTCATAGAAACCTAGAACCAGTGCATATCCTAACTTGGCCCAGTACAATATTTCATCTTCACAAAAGGATGATCTGGGGATTTAAAATGTCTTTCACCAAGATCGTAATGCATGGTGGTAGCAGAGCCAGGAAAGAAAAACTAACAAACGGATCCCAAATTTCTCTATTGTATCATTAGAGTCTCAAAACAAGTCTCATGGCCTTGCCTGTATGCAAGGTAGAAATGTTTGTGCTATGTAAGAATAGCTACTCCTGCTCTTGCTTTTGGTTTCTGTTTCCATGGAATATTTTTGTCCATCTCTTTATTTTAAGTGTATTTCTTATAGGCAGCATATTGCTGAGTCTTTGTTTTCCCCATTCAGTTAGTATACATCTTTTAAGTGGAGAATCTTTTAAGCCATTTACATTCCAACTTTTTATTGCTAGGTAAGGACTTATTCCTGTTGTTTTGTTAATTTTGTGATTGTTTTGTATATGCTTTGGTTCCTTCCTTTCTCTCTTGTTCTTTGTGGTTGATTGTTTCTGTATTGATAAGGGTAGATCTTTTTTGCTTTTGTTTATATGAGCTACTATTAAGTTTTATATATTTGTACATTTTCTTGATAGTAGTTATTATTATTTTGTTATGTAGAACTCCCTTAAGCATTTGTTGAAAGGCTGGCCTCAGGATGATTAATTGCCTCAGTTTTTGCTTGTCTTGGAAAGATTTCATTTCACCTTCCATTTTGAAGGATAGCTGTGCTTGGTATAGTATTCTTGGTCGGCAGCTTTTGTTTTATTTTGTTTTTTCCTTCAGAGTTTCAAATATATTGTCCCAATCTCTCCTGTCTTGAAAGATATCCACTGAGAAATTTGCTGTTAGTTAAATGGAGATTTTTCTATATGTGCTTTGTTGCTTTTCTACTGCCATTTTTAGAATTCTTTACCTAGGACATATCACATTTGACTATAATATGTCTCAGAGAATAATTGTTTTGGCTGAATCTAATTGGGGTCCTTTGAGCTCCATAGACCTGGGTATCCACATTCCCCCCAATATTTGAGAAGTTTTCAGTTAGTATTTCATTAAATTAGCTTACTATAGCTTTTCTTTTATCTTCTTTCCAGAGGCTCTATAAAAATATGAATATTTTATTTATTAATATATTAAAAAATGAATGTTTTTATTCTTAATGGAATCCCACAAATCTCAAAGACTTTCTTCATTTTCTTTTTTTGTGTGTGTGTCTTATTTTTTATGTGGTAGGGTGGGGACAAGGGAGTGCAGAGAGGGAAACATGGATATTTCAAAAGACCTGTTTTCAAGTTCAGAAATTTTTCTTCTGCTTGATCTATTCTGTAGTTTTTGAAAACCTCACTTTCATTTTTTTTATCTATCTAGTTGTCAGCACCAAGATTTTTGTTTCTTAACAATGCTCTTCACTCTTTGTTGAATTTCTAATTCATAGCATAAGTTGTTTTACTAAATTCATTGATTGGCTCCTTATCTTCTCTTATATCTCATTAATTTTGTTTTAAAAGTATTATTTTGAATTCTTTCTCAGGCAATTTATTGGTTTCATTTTCTTTTGGCACCACTGGTAAGCAGATATTGTGTTCCTTTAGAGATGTCATGATTCTCTGCTATTTAATGCTTCCAATGCATTATGTTGATATCAGTACATCTGATAAATCAATTGCCTTTGCTACTTATGAGATGGCTTTCATAGCAAAAGACTTTATGTGGTAATGTGTCCTAGGATGTTGTTTGGGTAGGCTTATGATGGCTTTGGTTAATGTTAGGAATGTAGTTTCTTCAGTTCTAATCAAGACCAATGATGCCCATGAATGTCTTGGTGAGTAAGGCTAGACAGGATTGAGGGATTGTTCATTTAGCTAGAGTGCAGCTTTCTTAGGTACAGTGG